ACCCGTGTCATAGATGGAGGTAAAGGGGGAAGATTTTGCTGTGATACAGCACCCGTAGGTAGAAGTCTGACTTGACTCCGTGCCGCTTTTTAAGGGGTAGAGTTGTCAGCCCTACGCCCTATGCTCTACTGTCAGGTTAAACTAGGACCTACGACTTAAAGTAGATTTCGAACGACTACAAAACATCCATGGCACGCCGGGACTCGAACCCGAAACCTGTACACTGAACTTTAATCACTCGGTCATCAGGCCGCAAAGTTACTCGCTTATATAAGTTTGGTAATTTTTTTGTCTGCAATTCTGTAGCTGCGTATAAACCGAACACTTGATTTCCGACCACAAAAAAAAAAATTCTGATGCAGAAAGTCCTGAATTCTGCCCATAAAGCCGGAAATGTAACATTTGTTTAAAAATAAAGATTCCGATACAATGCGCAGTTCCGGGGTATATCCGAATGCTTGATTTCCGTATTAAAAAAAAATAAAAATATATAAATATGTATTAAAATAAGGCCATTAGTATAAGAATGTATAGTAAAATTTAATGTCGTTTAAAAATTATAGACGATAATTTAAATCATATAGAACACCTATAAAATCTATTTGCCACATAAAATTAATGAGAATACGGATACATGTTCAAATTTTAATCCTCTTTCTCCTTGAATCATGGCCTGTTACTTTAATTAATAAATTTTTTATTATTTATTTACACGATCACTCAGTTTATTAACAAATAATTATCCAATTGGACAAGGTACTTCAGTCCAGAGTACCTTGACCGTTTTTATTCCAACGACCTATATGGTCAGTAAAATGACCCATTTTACCAATAATATTAAAATGATGAACCTTGTTCTAAGAATAATATTTTTGTTGTTGTTGTTTCTTATCCCACTTGGCTGGCCAAGCCCACGAGCCCATACATACTCATGATTGAAGGGGAAGGAAGCAGCTTCTGTTGTGATAGAGCACCCGTAGGTAGAAGTCTGACTTTGGCTCCGTGACGCTCTTACAGTCATGGGAGACCGGGACCTACGGCTTAAATGATTCCGAACCACTACAAACAATGCACTGCCATTCGAACCCAAAACCTGTGGCACCGAGCACCAATAGACACTCGGCCATTCAAGTACCAAATTTGGAATGCCGACCGGTGTTTGGTCACCCACTCAAGTACTGACCGCGCCCAATGATGCTTGACTTCGGTTCTAACGAGAACCGGTATATTCAGCATGGTACGGCCGTTGGCTATATATTATTTTTAAATACATAAAATAAAATCAATAAAAATCAGGAAGGGACCAGATGGCCGTATGATTAACGGTCTGTGCTACAAATACTCTGTGTCCTGGCAATGCCATGGAAGTTTGTAGTGGTTCCGAATTTACTTTAAACCGTAGGTCCCATTCTAATATGACTGTAGAGCGTTGGGAATAGGGTTAACAAGCCTATCCCGTAAAAAGAAAACATCTCATGTTTCGGAATCTGCCAGTACGCAGAAATTCTTTGTCCAGCAAGGAGCTGTTGCGCCATCAATTAAAAATCAAATAACTAGCTAAAAAAGATATATTTTTTCCTTTAGCATCGTTTTAAAATATAGGATGATTCAAATTTTATTATTAAACATTTGCCAATGCGAATATTGTAATTTTTTACCTTGAAATAAAATAATTATGTGATAGAAAATATCCGTTTTTCTAGGGAGAAACATTTTTCTATTGAACCATATAAAAGTCATTTATATTATATACTTTATTTTATATTCTTCTTCTTCTTCTTCATTAGTGTAACTGCCCCACGGTGGGCCAGTCTCCGCCAGCTGGAAGATTTCGAGACAGGTGATGTTTTCTTTTTACGGGTAGGGTTGTCAGCCTCACACCCAACCGCTACAAATACCCATGGTACCGTTGGGACTCGAACGCGAAACCTGGCACCGACAGCCAGAGCGCTAGTCAATGGGCCATTAAGCCTTTATATTATATTATTATACTTTATTGTTTACTTTCATATCATAAATGTTAGATTAATTCAGAGTTCAGTAAAAAATTAGGATAATGATTTTTCTTTCTCTTTCTAATTTACAAACCTCTGAATCAAGCCCACTGACTCCCGATAGATCTCTGATACTTATGCATTACATAGAAAAACAACAAAAAACTGTGGTCATGTAGATCCAAGTAACTTTTCAAATATTCAATTCTTTTATTACTTTTTAACTCATTATTGTTTTAGTGATTGCAAAATAAAAACCTAAGGCACATTCCTGAGACAGTCTCTCATTTCCAAACAACGTTCCCCAACTTATTACTTGTGTTTGAGTAATTGCCAATCCTCCACGCGTAACTCAATACCCCAAACCCAAACAACCCCTCTTTTTACAGGGAGAAAGAGAGTTAAGACCTTTTTCCTTGGTGGCACAACCGAATGGTTATTCAAAAATCTGTGTTTACAGATATCTCTTCTTCAAGCCCCTGATAAGGAGCTGGCTGAACAACACGAGGCTCCCGCGCATAAACTCCACATGAAGTAGTAAATAAAACATTCTCATTCCTTCAAACTGCTGCCCTGATTGACAATGACCAAAGACTTCTCATTCGTAAAAACTTGGGTACTGGGCGATAAAAAAGCGTTCTACCGTGCAAGTATTTTATTTTTTTTCTGCCTTCTCCCCTTACGTTCTCTTGTCTGTTAGCAGGCAATTGGAGTTGGTTAATGATGGGTGCCTTATCTTAAATAGTGAGAGATGTTGTAAGGAGGATTTTTTATTTTCCGGTTTCTCGGAAGGTATTCGGGAGTTATGCGAAGTACGCCAGCGGGCTGTTTTTTATTGCTGTCTTGGGTCTTGTTTGCAGTTGATAACTCAACAAGTTGGTCAATGTGCTGTTGAGATTTTTTTTTTTTATTGATATGCAGTCAGTCTAGTTTCTTTTTATGTGATAGATGCTTTTTACGGAAAATGGTATAAAAAATTGGAGTTGCAATGATATAGATGTATATGGCATAGTTTACTAAAACCATATACTACAACTTTTCTCAGATAAGGAGTTTTTTGTAATTAGTTTTACATTAGTAACTGAACGCATTGTAATAAATAAGCTTGAAATAGCAAAAATAAAAAAAATATAAAAAAAAAAAAAAAAAGAATATATGAATTTTAAATTAATATTCGTATTTCTTTTAGCTGAAAAGCAAAAATTTTTCTAATTGTTATTTTTAAAAAGGGCTTAAGTGCAAAAAACACGCAAGCTTCCTCACGTTGAATATATATGTTCAGGTGTCTAGTGGCCGAGTGACTAGCGTTCGATCCGCAGGTTTCGGGTTCGAGTCCCGATGGTGCCATGGATATTTGCAGTTGTTCAAAATCCATTTTAAATCACAGGTCCCGGTTTAATATGATTGTAAAGCTCTAGGGCGTAGGGATGAAAACCCTATCCTGTAAGAAGAAAGTTACAAATCTTTATGTTATAATTTAATATATATGTTCTAAGTTATAATTCATAAACATTGTTACCATATCAATTTTATGCATCACATTTTATGATTATTCATTTTATTGAGATCCAAAAATTATTATGTGCAAAATCTCCTTTTTCATCTTTGATTAAATAATGTTATTATGTTATAATGGATGCTATTAAATGTTTAATGGGTACAAAAACTAACTAACTAACTCCTTGGCACTACAGCCCATGGTGGGCCAAAGCTGTCTGCCTACTGGCAGATTTCGAGACAGGAGATGTTTCGTTTTACAAGGTAGGGCTGCCGGCCCTAAGACCAACAGTCATATTGGACTATATCTACTTATTTAAGTAGATTCCAGAACCACTGCAAACATCCTCGGCACCGCCGGGATTCGACGCATCGAAACCAGCGGCATTGGGCGCCAATCACTCGGCCATCAGAACCCATTTAACGGATATAACGTTCTTTAATTATTGCCCTGGAATTAAATATCTAATTAGAATTATGGAATCTACACAGGTAATTTACATAACACAAAAGACATTTACGAAAGAAAAATGACAAATCGCTGAGGTCTATCAAGTTCATCGCCATGCGACGAAGAACTCTAAAATTATTGATAATAAAGTGTTAGATGCTACTCTATATTATCTAGCTTTAATGATATTTATTAATTAATTAAAAATAAATCATTAATAAAAATTATTTTAATATGAACAGAAAGTTAAAAAAACATCAAGAAAAACATTTGTATTTCATAATAATAGTTAATAGATCTATTATTATCTATTGATATCTATCTATCTATTAATAATTAATAATTATCTATTATTAACCATTAGTAAATAAGATAGATAAATATCGATATATTATTATTAATAGATAATAATCGATATATTAATTATTATTAACTATCTTAATAATAATTCGTAGAAATTTAAAATAAAATAGGAGATAGAACTATATTATTAATGAAAAAAAATTAATTTGAAATACTAGAACTAATCAAGTAAAAAATGTATATTTAATTAATTATATTCAATAATTTTTTTATTAATATTATATAAATAAAGTACTATATAGTTGCTCTCATAACAACTATGTACATCAAATATAATGATTAGAACAATTTTAGTATACTCTGAAAAAATTTAATTAAAAATTTAAATACATTTGTATATTAAAAAAACAATAAAAAAATCATGCGAAACGATGATTATTAAAAACCTATAAATCAGGAAATACTACACTTTTTTAATATCTTATAATTGCTATTCATTTTTGAAGTTATATAATTCCCACGGGAAACAAACAAATCAATAATCTCACTGATTACTAAATTAATTGTTGAAATATTGACTTTATTATATTATCATGTAATTTATCTTTAAAAAAAAGATACACACAAACCCTTTGCTAGATAAAAACACAATCATTTAGTAAAAGGATTACTAGATGATTGTATTTTATCTGATAAAAATACAATCATTTTATTGATTACCATCAAATATACCCTGATGTTACACAGTTTCAGTGTAATATATAACAAATCTAACACATAACCATACGGCAAAACTAAAAAAAATTTCATTATTCGAGAAGATAGAAAAACCTACCATAATATCAATCGAATGTGAACTTAAGCACATTTTAATATCCATAGTTATCCTAGATTTAATACAGTAAAAATTAAAATATAAAATACTTTGAAAAAAATGGAATTAAAAATAATAAATTGCGTGAAAACCTAGAAGATATATCATTAATCGCATATATTAATATATACGTATATTAATTATATATATATATCATGTAATAATATCAGTAATCGAGTCATTTGATTTCTCATGTAAATTGCTTTACATTAGTGAAACACAAAAATTAATTATATTTTTTATGTAATAAAGACATTGTATATGTTACTTTACTTTACAATGTTACTGTAAAGCAAAATTTCCTGAAAAATGGCAATATTTTTTTTAACAAAAAAAAAAAAAAAAAAAAAAAGACATTTATTGTATCCAGTTCTAATTATTGAAATACATAGCAAAAGGCCGACAACAGAAACTACACACATAAATATTTAATTTGCTTTGTTATTGCAGAATAAAGAAAAGTGAATCGAGATTTAAAAAAATTTAGAATGCAAAAAATAGTATATTTGTAACAAACGAAATATCATTCAAAAAAAAAAACTTGATAAATAAATTTATCATTTATTTTCTTCTAGAATATTTCTAAAAAGAAAAAAAAACAATAGCTAATTTTGTGCATCCAAATTATTTATTACATCAAAACCCAGTGATATATACTTAGATAAAAAACATTACGTAGATAGTATTACATAGATAAATTATCTATCCAGGTTAGTACATAAAAGGTAATAAAATTCAAAATAATGTACTTGTTGTAGTAAAATACAAAACATCGAATAAAACATTTTTCTATTTAAATTAAATTAAATTAATTTAAAAAAAAATATTATTAATTTTTATTATTAAATTATTAATTTTTTATTTAAAATATTATTTAAATTTTATTAAAAATTATTATTAATTTTTAAAAAGTTTATTTTTTAAAATTAAAATTATTAAATTAAAATGAGCATATGAAAAGACGGACGGCCCATTAAAAAAACTAGAATGTTAAAAAAAACCAAAAACAATAATAAATATTAAACCTATTTAGCAGAACATTTACAACAAACGAAATAAAATGGAAGAAAATCACCTCTAATCTACTGAACTATTGTTATTTCATAATCTTACATTTTTTATCGTTGA